GATAGTTGAAAAATATCCAGCTAGATTCAGGGTATTATTCACATATATAAATGTTTTTTTTCTGAACTTAGCTGCAGCCGAGCTTCGCCCTATTCTTGATGTTACATGATGTTCTTGCTTTTCTTCTGCCCAGTCCCCAGCCAAGTTACTGTATGTATACAGTATACTTAACTCTTTGGCTACCATAGAGACTGCTAACTACAGATTTTTAACTCATTTATTGACAGACCTCTAACTACTGATAAGTAAAATTGTCTGGCATTTATAGATGATAAATACTAAAGTAGATCTGTAATAGCCTCTGATGTTTCAGCACTTCTACACTTGTTCTCAATTTCTTTTACTAATTATATTTTATTTAAAGACTATTTACATTATATGTTTTAACTTTTTATTATCTATGTTTTAACTACTGGTATTTATAATATATTTTAAAAATATTTATAGGCTATATGTATTTGTATGCACTATATTTAATAACTATTCTAACTGTATTAACAGGACATATTTTAACTATTTATTTAATATGTTATTACTATTTTTAATCTATTTGGGCAATATTATATCCACTATTTATTAGCTATTTTTAACAAGCTGGGATGTATTTTAACTATTTATTATCTATTTTTAAGCTATATTATCACATTTTTTGAACTATGTATTATCTATTTTTAAACTATATTATCACTATTTTTGAACTATGTATTATCTATTTTTAAACTATATTATCACTATTTTTGAACTATTTATTAGCTATTTTAAACTATATTATCACTATTTTTGAACTATGTATTATCTATTTTTAAACTATATTATCACTATTTTTGAACTATTTATTATCTATTTTTAAACTATATTATCACTATTTTTTAACTATTTATTATCTATTTTTAAACTATAATGTCACTATTTTTGAACTATTTATTATCTATTTTTAAACTATATTATCACTATTTTTGAACTATTTATTATCTATTTTTAAACTATAATCTCACTATTTTTTAACTATTTATTATCTGCTTTTAAACTATATTATCACTATTTTTGAACTATTTATTGACTATTTTAAACTTTGTTGAAACACATTTCACCTATTTATTACATATTTTTTACCTATATTGTCACTATGTTTTAACTATTTCATACATATTTATTAACTATGTCGAAACTAAATAATTTTAATAATTTCCTTAAATAGCTCTATTTTTATCATATTTGAAACCTATTTAATTTCTATTCGAGTACATCAATTAAGTATTTGTTTAGAAATATATCATGAATAGGAAAAAAATATGGTTCCACTTGGATAGGAAAAAAATAGCTTTTCTACCCTAATTTAAATAGGAAAAACCTCGAAAAAAAATAATAGTGAAAATAGGAAATAAATACTTTGATAAATAGGAATTAAATAGCCCAATAAAATAGGAATTAAATAGCAATTAAATAGTATTTGTTTCTACAAGGGACCTTGAGAGCAAGAACCGCAATGATGTCAATATGTTTGACAAATCTAACATGTGGTAAGTAAACTAAACTGTAACAGCATCCATAGCTATAATTATGAAATATTTAATTGTATATTCGATGTTATATTTATTTATTGATTGGTTTAAGTGATATATAAATTATAGTTCTCATTTTTGCTTCCAGCTTTGCCGGATTGAGACGGATTGTTGATGCCGAAATGAAAGACGTTCTTGCCACTGGGGTAACTAATACAAAAGCTGAGAAAGAGCCTGTGATGGCTGAAGAGGAAGAACAAATGTGGCAGGCAGAAGTGTTGGGCGACAAAACAGCTAAGACTTTGCTATATAGAGTTTATTTTTACAACGGAAAACTATTTGGTATGCCCTCTCAAGAGCATCGCCAATTACGGCTTGAAGATATTACAATAGAAAATAATTCAACGATAGTTTACCGAGAAAATACTTCTAAGGGGCCATTCACAAAGGATGTCCGAGTCGATGGGGGGAGGGGGGTTTGGGAAATTAGGACAAACTCGGACATAGGGGGGGGGAGGTTTTTTTTTAGCAATCAGGATGTCCGAAATTTAAAAAAATTCAAAAACAAATTTCTTTTTCCTCTATTCTGAACTCTCTTTCCCATTGTGAAATTGGCATTTTGAACACTTCATAATATTATCTAATTCTTTCCTTCAATATATTTATAGTTATAAAAAAGTTCTAAAAGTAAAAAAAAGCTTTTTACTCTTGACATATATAGCCTACAAGGTTGCGTGAGTTTTTGCGAGGCATGGCGGATGTCCGGGGGGGGGGAAGGGGGGTCACTAATTCGGACAATGTCGGACAAAGGGGGGATGGGGGGTCTGAAAATCCATCATTTGGCCGGACATCCTTTTTGAATGGCCCCTAAATCGTTTCACGGGGGTATAGCCGATATGAAAAAAAGGTAGAATCGTTAAGCACTTTTGTCACAATAATGAAAATGATAGTCATGAGCGTTGTTTAAGTACTGTTTAATAAACGAGTAGGAGTGTTTTATCACATATATAACACGATGCGTAGCGGAGTGTTTTATATGTGATAAAACACGAACTACGAGTTTATTAAACAGCTTCAAAAACGTCTCAGTTAGATCACGGCATTGGCGAAATAATTTTCCAAAATAACTTTGTATTAGCTGAGAAAATACAAGTTGAAATTTGAACCGTGTTTTATTACATATAAAGACACGCCACGCTTATGATTTCTCTTTGTGTTTTCCTCATGAATTATTAATGAGTTTTTGAATTCATATTTCTAACCGGCACTTCGGCTGAACGTTAAGGCAAATGGGGTCTATTTTGAAGCTTTTGAGGAATCGAAAAGATTTGAATTTAAAAATTCATTCCTTAAACAATATTCTTCCAAGTCTCTGCGCTGCAATAGGGCCAACGAGAAGGACAAGTCACAGCCTTCGTGTGACATGTGTATCTAAGCTTTTCAATGCTAGTGTAGAAGAAAAACTTATAAGGAATCGAAGTGGTCATGTAAGTGATGCACTTTTGGGATGTAAAAAGAGCTGCAAAGGCTAGGAGCTAAAAGTTTCTAATATTTTAAATCCACCTCGTCAGTCAGGGTATTACGGGTGTAAATTATAATTGTAAACAAGGCGATTTAAATGGTACTAGTGCCTTTAGGAGTTTTAGAAATGACTCAGAAGAATCTCTGCTAAATTTCGATGAATTGAATTCTTTATTGGGCGGCTTGAGCCAGGGGCAAATTGAGCAATTGTGTTCAGGTAATAACCTCGCACAATCTGCGAATTACCGAACGTATAGACAAATTCAAATTACTGGGAACTGCAATGTGACAATTAACCAATACCAAGCGGTTAAATTCATAGTAACTACAAGACTTGAAAACGAAAGATAAAGTGTATACTGCCTGGAAGTTAAATTTAACATGTATTAATTATGTGTGTAATAATTGTTGCGTGCATGGAAATCAATATGGCGAGAAGGCGAATGTTTAACTTGTGTGTTTGCAATGTATTACTTTATTTTGACGTCAATAAATGCCACATTGACTATTGTACTATTAATATTAGAATATTTGTTTTGTTCTTATCGATTGCAATACAGTAGTTGTTTAATTTTCATTTTCATGTAGTATATGTCAGACACCTTTAATCTACACTCAATCGATTAACTTCCATCAAGTTCTATAGGACTGTATTAATTTTTATCTAGTCCTTGCACTGAATTAATTTTGATCCAGCCTTTGAACTGGATAAAAATTGTCCAAGTCCTTGGACTGGATCAAAATTAATCATTATATATTCATTCAGCCCCGCTCTTCCCTGCTGATATCAAAACCCTCCCCGGCTTTCAAAATGTTCACCAGGTATCCAGCACTATCATGTGAGCAAAATAATCAAGGCAATATAGTCGGCTAATTTACGCATGAATTATTAATGAGTTTGAGATCAATATTTAATAGCCTAGCGGAATTAGTACCATCGCCCTGCTCTGCCGCCTGAAACGGCGCTATTGCGCCTTTTGTCAGGGACTATTCGCATAATTATTGTATATACTTACAGCTAATTCAATTAAGGTTGTCCTTCCAAAAACTTAAACCTTCTGAACTCTGATCGAGCGCGCAAGTGATGAAGCATACACAGTATACGATATATACGCTGTTGTAGGCTATCACAACGGTCGTTAAAAGTCTTTATAAAAAGCAAATTGTCCGCTAGTTAAGCGCTAGTTAAGCGTATGACCTTTGGAATACTAGCCAAATGCTCTGGCAACTGAGCTACGCGGTCAGATCGGTTCGAGTATACGGTATTTCGTAACTGAGTCTAGTTCCTTCGATATCACTGTAAGCTAATAATCATTATATTTGCTGTGTTGGTGTAATGTACTCAGGTGAATAAGATGCTTGTGTGATGTTACTCTGAGTGTATACCCACACCGGCAAGGCTTGAAACATATGCCTGGCCACAGTGGTATTCGAACCTACGACCTTTGGAATACTAGCCCAATGCTCTGCCAACTGAGCTACGCGTTCAGGTTCAGTGGTTTATTATTCATATTATTTTTTTTTCTATAGCGAACACGTCCACTCCAAATAAACCAAGCAGACTGTTTGTTGCAACATTTTTGAACTGGCTGAAATTAAGCTTTGAAGTAACATGAAATAAAATCTAATTGATGTTTTGTTGGAAGTACAGCAACGCAGGCACAACACCGGCGTTTCGATATTGTGTAATTGTATATAAACAGTACAGTTTTCTGTGATATACTATATGTATTTAGCATCTACACTTTAGCAAGTCTAAGGTGTATTTAATACCAGATTTTTTTCGTGCAGCGCTTGATTTGATTATGTTATTTAACCAAAATTTTGGTCTGAATACTTTCACTCGAAAATTTTGGTCTGAATATTTCCACGCCATTTTTTTGGTCTGAATATTTTCACGTCAATATTTTAGTTTATCTACGATAATCTAGATAATCTAGATAATCTTAGATAATCTACGATCATCTACTGAACTGTTGCTTGAGAAACCGGGAACAAAAACATTAACCACTTTGGGTGACCGATCGTTCCAAGTGGCTGCACCTACGCTGTGGAACAGCCTCCCAGCAGAAATTCGTAACGCCTGCAATGTGGCATCATTTAAGAAAATGCTTAAAACCCATTTTTTTATGAAGACATTTTCCTCCATGCTGTCATAATTAGGACAAGTAATATATAGCAGCCCTGTAGGTTCTTAGATTTATTGTAGGACGGTTTTTAAATTAGTGTAATATTCCAATTTTCTATTTTGATGTAATGCGCGAGTGAGCATCTTTCTATGTAACACGCGCAATATAAATTTTTAACTTAAATTAAATTAAATTAGTCCGGATATTTTCAGGCCAGAATTTTGGTCTGAATATTTCCACTCCAATATTTTGGTCTGTATATTTTCAGGTCAGTTTTTTGGTCAGAATATCTTCATGCCAATTTTTTTGGTCTGAATATCTTCACTCCAAAGTTTTGGTCTGAATATTTACACGCCCAAATTTTGGTCTGAATATTTCCACTCCAATATTTTGGTCTGGCTATTTTCAGGCCAATTTTTTGGTCTTTATATTTTCAGGTCAAAATTTTGGTCTTGATATTTCCACTCCAATATTTTGGTCTGACTATTTTCATGCCAATTTTTATGGTTTGAATATTTTCACTCCAAATTATTGGTCTGACTATTTACATGCCAATATTTTGGTCTGAATATTTCCACTCCAATATTTGGTCTGGATATTTCCACACCATATTTTGGTCTGACTATTTTCAAACCAATTTTTCTGGTCTGAATATCTTCACTCCAAAATTTTGATCTGAATATTTCCACGCCAATATTTTTATCTCAATATTTTTACGTCATATTTTGGTCTGAATATATTCACGCCAATATTTTGGTCTAAAAATATTCATGCCAAAAGATTGGTTTCAACATTTCTTCAATCCAACAGTTTGAATTTTTTTGTTTCCATTGGCCGTATGTTTTGCTATAAATGTCACTAATAGTTATCTTCCACATTAGCGAATATTTTTCTGCTTTATTTGCGCAACCTATAACTATATTGCATAGCTTTGCTTCCAATTGCTTTATTTCTGTCTTCAATTGAAATTATTCGACCTATTTCCCCTCTCATTTTTGTGGCTAGACCAAAAGTAACATTTAACTCGTTTCCAACACAACATGTTTTGTCTTTTTCTGTTTAGAAATACTTTTCGCCGCCACTTTTGGGAAAATCTATTACGTTGTTACACATGTTTGTCAATATTTGCACATGTTTAGAAGGTCTCGCTTAACCGTAAAATTACAGGACATGCTACTTTTGGCAAAAACGCCGGTTAATGTTGTGATTTCCAACTATTGCGTAGCGAAAATCAAATATTTCCTGAAAAAATGTCCTAGGCAATTGTGGAATTTGGAGAAAATTAAGGATTTTCTAAAGTATTATTAAAAAAAACCCTTAAATAGAATATCACTGTTCATAATATTCCCCGAGCCGACGGCGCGAAGCGCCGTGCGAGGGTACTAATTCCCCCCAGCTATTTACACCCGGGGAAACGAAAGCATTAGCGGAGTCTAAAGTTCATCACATATCGCGGGCGTGGGTCACCAACCGTGGGTGGTTATCCTCACTGATCTCAAATATATGGCGGACTGTCATGAATAGCGGATACTGATTGGTCCAATTTAAAATTTGCATTATAACGACTGCATGACGGCAGCGAAATAGCAAATATTTCTTGATATGATGATTGATGAATTTTTTATTCGCATTTTTGCAAGATTTTGTAAATTTCAAGAGTTTTCTCATAAAGGGCGAAAGAATCAGCTAAAAGATGGGAGCCGACGTTAACGAAGGTAAGTTTGTTTTAAATATTGATTTTATAATGTATTTAAAAGCCGACGGCCTTTGCGTATATAAAACAAATAAACAAGACAGCATATAATTTCAGTGTATCTTTAAAGGTAGGTTACAGTCCCTTCTGCGCATGTCTGTGATTGTTTTTGTCTGGGGACTCCACCGGAAGTTGGGCAACTCGGTTTGTACTCGATCCAGTCTCATTTCTGGCAATAACACGCGCGTTGTTTTTTTCGCAAGCGAAGGAGTGAAGCTAGAAGTTTCCAAAATATATTGAGCTTTTTTGAGCGACAATCCGTCAAATAACGAGTTTTTGAGGCAACATGACCAGTAGGAAAGAATACCACGCTAGCAGGGATGCTTCCACAGTGTATCAAAGTGTATCAATTTTATTGTTTTCCTCGATGGAGAGCTGGCCATTTCTGTCTGCGTTTCCCCATAATATACCTACATCCTCAAGCTTCTACTAAAGGTTTTCAAGAAAAGAATCCAAGGATAGGACATTTCACCCAACATAGCTGCTATTCACTGTGGATCCTTCAGTGAAATCGCTTGTTGAAGCCCATCAATCGAGGTTTTAATGACTATAAAATTCTCCGTTTATTTACTATTTTAAATTTTAATTATATACTATCGTTACATACGAAATGTTCTATCTCTTTTATTTACAAACTGAAACCCATATAATTAAGGCCTAAAAATATGATACTCGTGACTAGGAGTTGTCAATGAAAAAGTGTTAATGAGCAATTTGGAGTCAACATGTTTTGGATGACTGTTTATATATTATTGTCAGAGTGATAAATGATATAAATTAATCTACTTGACCGTGCTTTACTGTCTTTGACTGTCTTTTCATGGACAACTTGTGCTCACTTAATAGAAACACATAAAAAGTTTCTCTGATCAAAGTATATTTTAATCAAAGCACAGCCCTCAAAAACGAGGTCAGCATTTGGCAATGCCGACCTAAATGCCGACCTATCAACCTCCCAGGTCGGCAAATTTTTGCCGACGTTAATTCAGCAAAAGTAAGAATTTTTTGGTGCTGATAGCTGTTAAAAAGTCAGCGATTATAAAATTAGATTCGTAGTTCGATTAACTATAAACACACTTTGGTATAAGGTTTAGAAATTGACGTTTAAAAATTAAATTAAATTAGCTCAGGTAACAGGGCTGACTCGCCTCCATATAAACACCGCCTAAGACATTTAGTTTATAAAACATTTTGATCACAGCTGATGTAAACAAACTCAACTAATAATTACTAGTATATTTTTTCACCCTAATTGTGACCAAAAGCTTGCATAGTAGCCTAAGAACCTACAATTTAAGAACCTGTCAGGCTAAATTTTTTTATTTAGACATCCTAAATAAGAATTTGTTTAGGCTAACATTTCAAGTTCTTATTTTATCCCATGAAGACAAATCAAATCTAAAAATGTATATAAATCAAAGAAAATAAACCCTTCACAAAGTAATGAAAATGATCCAGAACACTGAAAATGTCATTGAGTGAATGTTAGCACAGTACATAAAGTGCATGTTGACAGCTTTACAGTATAGCTTTACGCATAGCTATTAATAAGTTAGATCATTTGTGCACAATTTATATACATGTATATACATGTAAATTATACCTCATGCACATACCAAAAATGAGTCCTTTTCTTTAAGAATTTAAACTAATTTCCAAGCTCTAATGATCATGTAGTCACTACATGTATTGTCCAAAGGTGGGATCTGGGGGTTTGAAATCCGAGCTTTCTTTCTCCTAGATGGATTGCCTCCTACACAAAGCAATCTGAGACACAACCCAGTTCATATTGTACTATGATTGCCTGATATTGTGTCACAAAGAGTGGCACCATCCCATGCATATAATATATATTGTC